TAGGGAAAGGATGTTTATAAAACAGTTAATACTTAATTTCTCTAGATAATTTTTGAAAGCCACAAATTCAATTTAAATTTTTGTTTGAAACGACTGAAAACTAACTGACAGGGCAACAGAAATCAAGTCAATTCCTAACATATTAAAGGGCAGCTTTATAAAAATGTTCCCCACAAATCCCTAGAAAACCACCTTTTTGTAGGGCCCTAAAAAAATTCCGACAAATAAATAACATAATAAAATTATCTTGTGACATTCCAACATCTGTACAAAAAATTTTGACTTTACATTTCTGTATAACCCAAGGTCAAGAGGGCTTTTCCACAGGCCAGCTATAACTTTTTGCTTAATTTTTCCATAACTTTTAACTAATCAAAAAGATTTTAAAATATAAAACATAAGTACATACATGATTTTTGCTGGTTTCTGCAGACTGCACCACATGAAAAAAGAAAATAAGGAAGTTTGTGAAGAAGTTTTTAAAAATACAATTCAGACTTTAAAAGTATTATACATTGATTTTACCTCTTCATGTATTTTTTATCATCTTCCTTCTGATCAAGCCAGAATTTTCCTGGAAGTGACTTTTTGGATAAATAATACCTGTGTAATTATTAAGGAACTTTAAAAAAATAATAAAGTCCTACAATCTTTATGCAACTTAAAGCAGGCACTCACATACTTGTGAAAGTCACACTTGAATTCTAGCTAAACCAGGTCTGCAAAAATTATGACAAAAATGTTTATACCTCACAGGGTCGTTATATGGATTAAATATTACATGTGAAGTCACACATGACACAGTACCTGCACAAAAGTTAGTTTCTCTTATCTTCCTTATTTAGTGGCTAAGAGAAGATATATCCTCAATGTTTTATTTAAATCTTTTTTCCTAGAACACATGGAGAATGTAACAGATGAATCTGATTGGTTGTCCAGGGTAATTTAGGAGTATTTGCTTTCATATTTCTGAAAGTAACAGAGAAGAGCTTAGCGTTGCTCTCTATCCTAATAAAAATAACAAACGCTTGGGTCAAATTTACCAGAGAGTCTCCCTCTCAGACTTTTTAAACCTAGACTATACTGCAATACTTTAGATTAGTCTGAGATATTCTTCACTTAACAAATATTGTATTTTGTGTACATGAGGCTAGCTAGGTACTAGGTGCTGAGGACAAAGAGAGAAAACATTAACCCTGTCCTCCAAGAGCTCACATAGCTTTTATTCTCATTATTTTGTTTCCAAATCTGGAAATGAACCAGTGACTACTTAAATATTCATTAATCTAGAATGGCACTGTTCAACATATTAGCCAATAGCCACATGTGTAGCTACTGAGTATGTGAAATGTGGTTAGTACAAACTGAGATGTACTGTTAAGTATAAAATACACACTGGATTTCAAAGAGTATAAAACAAAGAATGGAAAACACCTCAATAATGTTTATATAGTGATTAAATGTTGAAACAATATTTTAAATATACTGGGTTAAATAAAATGTTATTACAATTATGTGGCTACTAGAAACTGTAAATGATATGTGACTTGCACTATTTTTCTACTGAAAAGCAATGATCTGGGCTCTAACTGTAATGTTTGGGGAGAGTTAGGGAGTAAGAAAGCCTAGAAAGGGTTAACCTATGATAATTAAAGGTACAAAGACACCCAGAAAACTATGTAGCAATAACTGGGAATAAAAAGAATAGATATTCTGGCTTAAAGAGGAGATAAAAATCCATGAAACACAGGTGAGTTGAAAATAAACCACTCACTACTTATTAGAGTAGTATTAATAACCTTTATAAATCAGAAATCTTTTTGTTCAATCCTTTCATTTTCTATATAAAAAAATGGGAGTCCCAAAAAAGTTAAGTTGCAAACATCACAAATAGATGAAAGAAATAAGGACAAGAAGCCAGTGGCTGAACTGTGAATAAGGACCTACAACTTCTGGTGGGGAAAAATCTTCATTCTAGTTTTACGCTTTTTACTTGGATTGCTCCCATTAACACCTGTAAATCGGTAGAGTAAGAAGTGAGAACTTTTACATATTTTAATTCTATGTCCTTGGACAAATTAACGTCTCATATAACTGAAAATGGAGGTTTAGACTGAATGATTTGGACTTCGACTAAAGATTCTAGCTGATTTAAAACACGCTACAGGGAATTCCCTGGCGGTCCAGGGGTTAGGACTCCATGCTTCCGCTGCAGGGGGCACAGGTTCGATCCCTGGTCAGGGAACTAAGATCCCACATGCTGCGCAGAGTGGCAAAAAAAATTAAAAAATGAAACACTCTATAATTTCTACTCAATATTAAGATAGTATAAAGAGTTGGTTGACAACAGAAACTCAAAAATATTGAGTCAGATCTCAGACTTAGTGGTAAAACAGAATAGGCAGGTAACACATTATATACTAGCAGTTATATACTATCTAGTAACTAACAGTGGTCTCTTCTGTAAGTTTTGCATTTATGGATTTTTAACCCTGAAATCTTTACTTTCCTCATAATCATTAAAGGATACTCTTCTTCCAACAACATTTTCTCAATGACAGCTCTGTTCTCTTCACTGATGGTGCTATCCAGAGTCCAAGGCTATTAAAAAAAGGAAGAATAAATTTCTTTATTTACTGCTTTTTGAAATTATCTTCTGTTTTGTTAAATAAAAATACACAATACAATGATTTACAAATAATAAAGCTACCATTTACTGAGCACACAGACATATCTTTGATTCCCACAATAATGCTATGAGACAGGCATTACTTCTTCACAGATACATCCATAAAGGCATTCACTGACACTTCAAGCAGGAGAGAAGAGACTTGAGCCTTGGATTCCAAGGCTCAGGCTCCTACCCATGTTAAAGTAATAATGGCTATCCTGTATGAGGAACTATTAGGTATTAGGCATTTTGCTAGCTACTTCACCTATTCCCAAAACTCACCACAATTCATTTTTTCCCTTAAGCCACAACCTCTCCTTAAATAATCATACTCTTTTTTAACTCTCAAAACTTAAAAACTTTCAGCCCAGGTCTCTTCTCCAAGCTCTATTTAGACTGTTATAACTAACTGCTCACTCAAAATTTCCACTTGGAATTCTAATAGGCTTCTTTTTAAAAAAAATAAATTTATTTATTTAATTTATTTATTTTTGGCTGTGTTGAGTCTTCACTGCGGTGTGTGGGCTTCTCACTGCAGTGGCTTCTCTTGTTGCAGAACACAGGCTCTAGGTGCATGGGCTTCAGTGATTGTGGCATGTGGGCTCAGCAGTTGTGGCTCGTGGGCTCTAGAGCGCAGGCTCAGTAGTTTTGGTGCATGGGCTTAGTTGCTCCGCAGCATGTGGGATCTTCCCGGACCAGGGCTCGAACCCGTGTCCCCTGCATTGGCAGGCGGATTCTTAACCACTGTGCCACCAGTGAAGCCCCCCTAATAGGCTTCTAAAACTTAACATATTCAAAATAAAACTCACCATAACATACATTCACCTGCTTCTCCCCCTGCCTTCCCAATTTTGTAAACAGTACTACTAGTCACCAAGCTATCCCAGCTAGAAACCCAGGAATCATCCTGGATTCTTTCGTTTTTCCTCAATCCCTACCCCCAATTTACCAAGCAGTTCTACCTCCAAAACATAATTCAAATCTGTCAACTTCTACCACAACCTTAGGCCAAGCCATCACCAAATCGTGCTTAGATTCCTACAAATGTTTCCTAACTAGTCTCTTTGATTCCCCTCACTTGCCTTTCCAACCTTGTCACAGCTGTCATCCCCTCCCCTTTCCCACTATATTCTAGACACTGGGTTTCAACCAGAGCCTTTGTGCTGCTATTCTTTCTGCCTAGAATATTTTTCATCAATTCTTCACATACCTACTCCTGTTTTCAACTTAAATGTCACCTCCTCAGTTTCCCTAACCAACTTTATCTAAAGTAGATTCCCCACCTTGTAACTCTCAGTCAGCATCTTGCTTATGTCCTTCACAATCTATAATTAGTCTACTTGTTTACCACCTGACTCCCCTTTAGAATATAAGCTCCTTGAGAGCAGGACCATGTCTGTCTTGATTACAGGTGTATCCCCCAAACTTGGCCTAGTGTCTGGCACATAGTAAGTACTTGAAAAATAACTGTTAAATGAAGAAACGAAGCATGCAACGATCCCGATTTTTTAGATGAAGAAACTAAGGTTCACAAATCTGATAAGTGGTAGAGCACTGATTCATACCTAAATCTAACTGGCTCCTAAGTTGATTCCTAAAAGGCCATTTTTTCAAAGTCAAAAGAAGAAAGAATAAATTCCTTCTATTTTTAAGTTAAGAAAAAGGTTTCAATATATTACCTCTGTGACTGCTGAGAACTAGCACCAAGTTTAAAAAAAAGAGGTACTCTGGGTACTGAGTAATAGCTTAATGCACCTGATATTCCCATAAAATACTTACAATAAGACCATTCTCAGTTCTCCACGATGAGTCAAGATAGTGGTCTTGTAAAACAGATGCTGTATTTTCATCACTTCTGTAATAATTAAGAAAATGGGTATGAAAGTGAGATTATACCAGTTAATGAACATAATTTACAGGGCACAGTGATTGGAAGGTTTCAGATGTTAAGCAAATATTTAGTTCCTTTCCCCCCTTAACAGATTTAACATTGCAGATGCCTGCTCTACCTTTGGCCTGTGAAATATATAGTGGCTTTAAGCCGCCCTATTTCAATTGCTAAATATCACACTTCTCCTTCTCCCAATAAACAACTTCATGAGGGAAAAAATACCTCCAAACAGCAACTACAACATATTCTGTGGCTATGAACCAACACTCCAGATTTCTTTTGATGAATATGCATGTGTATACAGGAATTCAACTTTACAATTAATTCTTTTAGTTATATCTGAAGCATAGAAGCCACCCATCAACAGTACCACCCTCAAAATGAAGAAAAAGCAAGAACAGATAGAAGAACCAAAAGAAAATACTCAAAGGAGGACAGTACAGTGAAGAGATAAGAAATGTGATGCTTTAGTAACAACTCACATAAAAAAAAATTAACTTGGGTTACTGGGGGCTTTTCTATGTTCATGGGGGATTAAACTTTAATTCTCACTCTTTTCACTAATTAGAAGTTTCTAAAGTCACACTGTTCACTTCATATGGAAAAAGCCTGAATAATTAAGTTTGAGGAGGCCCAATCTGTGATAATTAAATTTAATATTTGCTTCTGTACATTTTGAGGTTATAAAGTTTCCTAGTTACTGACTTTTCTCAGTCTAGTGTAAAGAACTTGTACCTCTTAGACTGCAAAAATCTATCTACAGGTTTATCTCCATCTGGCATATATATAAGGTTTACTGTCTGCCTCATCCAATAAGAATGTTAGTTCTATGAGAGGAAGGACTTAGTTTGGATAACTGCTACATACCCAGGGCTTGGCATATAAAAGATAATCAATATTCGCTGAATGACTGAATGAACAAGATAGGTGGGGCATGGATCACACAGGTCTCTAGGAGTTAAGGAATAAAGATTTTATCATAAAGCTAATTGAGGACTGAAGGGAATAACATGATAAGATCTGGATGTAAGAAAAGACTGCTCTAACTTCAGAAAAGACTAGAAGGGGGTCAGAGAGACAAGAAGTGGTTAAGACGGAGTGATTATATAGATACTAGAGAGAGGTGACAGTAATTCAGACCTAAAGAACAAACAGTGTGAACAGGAAGAAGTGATCACATTTGAGAGGATACTCAGAATCAACAGACTCTGACAGAAGGAGAGAGGTAAGGAAAAGGGATAAAATCTAGGTCTGTGACTTGCATGACTGGGTGGATGGTACCACTCATTGAACTGGGGAACTTGGAGAGGCAGGTTGGGTAAGGAAAGTTTTATAAAGTGAAGCTGAGGTGCTTCACTTTATAAGGAAAGTCCAAGGGCAAACAGATTCAGAGAATTGGATAAATGGATGTGAAGCTCAGGAAAGAGATTTGGGAAACATCAGCATGTATTGGGTAGAACTTAAGAAACTGTTGTTTTGTAAGTCAAAAATGGTGGAACGTTGGGAAAATTTCATATGGTCCAACTTAACAGAAATTTAAGTCTTGAGAGCTGGACTGTGTGGTTAGTGAGAAGTCTTATGACAAAAATCCCTTGGAACATTATTATTTAAAGAATAAGCAGAAGAAATGGAGGATGACAAAGAAGGGAAGAGATATGGGAACATATATATATGTATAACTGACTCACTCTGTTATAAAGCAGAAACTAACACACCATTGTAAAGCAATTATACCCCAATAAAGATGTTAAAAAAAAAAAAAAAAAGAATACGCAGAAGAAATGGAGGATGACAAAGAAGGGAAACCAAAACATTTCAACGCCATCTTCTAACTTTGGTAACCAGCACTTAGCAAGGACTTAAAAGTGTTTTCACTTAATCCTCAAAGGTTCCACAGATGTTATAATCAGCTGTAACTACACAGTTCAGAGGGGCAACTAAGTGTTCACTCACACCAAATGCCATTTGATCAGAGTCCCCAATACCAAGGAGCAATTTTCACCAGAATATGTTAATGATGCTCTGTGGAATTGTGTAAGGCAATGGCTCTGACCATCAGGAACCAGTAATCTGTTACTGGTTGCCTGAGACTAATATGACTACAGGTGCCACCAGCAGACTTAAGGCTCAGCAGAATAATGAGAAAGGAAAGAAAAAGGAGAAAGAGAAATAAAACACAATCAGAAAAATAAAGAAGAACCCATGGAAAGGGGTAAAGCCAATGCTCTCAGATGATCTTTAGTGTTTCCAAGGCCAGCTCATTTCTCTCTGGACTGCAGATAAGAATCCCTCCCATTTATTTCACAGACTTATTGTGAAAAGTAAATCAAATCATGCATGTAACAGCACTTGATCAAGATTAACTTGATCTACACAAATGTGAACAATGATTGTTATTAAAGGCTTCCTATTCGTTTGTACAGACTCGGACGGCTTCGCCTGGAGATTTGAGAGAGAATGACTGAATGGACTTTAAACCCACTATCTTGGTGCCTCATGAGCAGGGTTAGTACTCTTCTCCACAATTTACAGAGGCGCTATTATCAGGTTGGACCATGTGAAATTGCTATTTTATAGGTCAAAAATGGTCTAAGATTGGCAGTTTTACATGGTTCAACCTAGAGACTTCTAATGAAGTTGTTTATAGTTACAAGCAACATAGATGGCTGAGTTTAGAACTGAAGTCTTCTGATTCCTGACCAGTCTAGGCCTCTTCCATTACTAAAAGAAGATTCTGAAAGCACATTTTTAAAATGGCATGTATCAACTTCTCTCTCTGTAAGCGAGGAGCCAAACAGCCAGATGTCTCAAGCTGAAGGATGCAGTTTAAAATCACACTGGCCTGCTCTGCAGGAATTGGTGAATAAATTATGACCCCCTCACTGGGTCCTCAAAATACTATCCCTGGTGGGATGGTAAAGAACACAACATTTACAGAGCACCTACCTTATGCTAGAGCACATCCCATAATTATTCCATTTTATCTTCACAATAACCGTATGAGGTACATAACATGATTGTCAGCTAACACATGAGCTGAGGCCCAAGGTCACACTGCTAGTAACTGGCAGGGTCAACCCAGAGCTGTCCAACTCTAAAGTCCAGCCCCTTTCCTTCAAGTCACGCTGCTTCTCGGGAAGTTTTTCATAACTATCCCTACATGGAAAAAGAAACCGGTGGCCGGTAGGGATAAAACGACACGCCCAAGGTCGCACGGCCTGCAAGCGATGGAACAAGACTCCCAAGCTCGGGTACTGTCCAGGGGCCGCCCTTGTTCTAGTTATTGTTGGGCGGTGGCAGTAATGGTAGAAGGAATCTAATTGCTGAAGAGTGGATAACGTGCTAGGCGCGGCCGGCGCCCTCACAGCATGCCGGTAAAAGGTTAAACGGCCGTGGGTCACTAGCCTCCGGTACCCGCCCCCTGGGCTCAGGACGAGCCCGCAAGCGGGATGGGCGAGGCGTCTCCCTGGCCGCTAGGAAACCCTGGCCCAGCGGATGGTCTTCCGCTCCCCTGGCCCCTGCCAGAACCGCGGCCTTTCTAGGATACCCCCCTCACATCTGCGCCCCTTCTCGTCTCTGCAAGATCCAGTCTCTACGCCTCACCCAGACTGTGCCGCCGCTGGCACCACGTCCCCTTCGATATCCACATCCACCTCTTCAGCCGCCATGATGGAACCTGACCCCGGCCGTCTTCTCGAGAGATCCCGCGAGAGGTGGAGGGCCTGAAGGCGGGGTCCTATGCGTCACGGGGCGGAGTCGAAGCCTCGGCCAACCCTTCCCACGCTCAGGAAGCGGGGCTTTCAGGGAAAAGGATGCTGCGGAACCGTGTGGCTTGGTCCTTTTGACTTGTGTTGACTTGCAAAGACCTTGGCAAGTAACCCAGGCTTGGGTTTTGAAGAGACCGTGCTCTTGCATAAATTCTTTGGCGCCTCACTTCTCTAATTTGTAAAACGGGGATAATAGTAAATATCTAGTGTGCTGAAAAGATCAAGTCAGACCTACTTTGAACTGTGAAGGTGGCAACAGTGACCCTTACCTACTGGTTTTTTCTTTCTTTCTTTCTTCCTTCCTTCCTTCCTTTCTCTCTTTCCTTCTTCCTTCCTTTTTTTTTTCTTTTAAGAGAAGGATTATTCAGCACTTATTGAAATGTTGAACAACATCTGTTTTAAAATTCAAAAGAACATTTAAGAATGTAACTTACGATTGCATATTTTATTTCATAGAGATCTTTACAATTAATTTAAAAATCACTCTCATGACCATTGATCTTCACAATAACCCAGTGAGGTAAGCAGGACTAGTATTATCCGTCACACATTACAGATGAGGAAACTGAGGCTCAGAAAGCTGAACTGACTAGCATAAAGGATAGACAGCTAGTCAAAGACAGAACTGGGACCAGAATCTAGGCCTTTTGACTCTTTATGAGTACTCACCCTCTACAGATCATGTTGTTAGGAACTGTGAAAGACAAACACCATTTCTCTCAGAGAATTTATGGCTCCTCAAGAAATTAGATACTGGCCTATGAATTCTTCTACCTTACCATCTATCACTCACATTATTGTAGCTGTTCATTCACTTGCTTCCACCGTTGGATGGTGAATTCATTAAGGACAAAAACTGTATCTGCTAGTCTTTGCACTAGTCCATATACTACCAACATTCAACGTGGTGTCTGACACACATAAGGTGTGCAATAAATATTGAACTGATGAATGAACCAATCAGTTAATGGAATGAGTTCACTTCCCACACTGTTGTGAGTTTGTCCCATCTCACCTTTGTACTCAAGCCATAAGATGAGCTGTACTATGAATGTGATGGCAGAAGATGGAGAGAAAGTTTTGTAAAGAGGGAGATCCAGTGCTCAGAAACTGAATAATGCTCCATCCTTAGGTCACCCTGAGGGTGCTTTTCCTGTTGCCAAAGGGCTTTTCCAATGACCAGTCCCAGTGGTAACTGGCATGCCTGTAACAGAGTAGGCATTCTAAGATATTTGTTGGATGTAATTTACAGCAAGTTTAGACAGATGGATATAACCAGATAGTCAAAAGAAAATAGATGCTTTTCATTGATCTTTACACAGCAGGCAGGATGGGAACCCTGGTAGTACTGTCTGGATACACATGATATCAAATGCCTTCTAGACCATGACATGATATCAAATGCCTTCTAGACCATGACACAGAATACTGTGTGAAGAGCATCTCCTGCAACACAGAACTGAAGGCTTTCTGGCCCAGTGCCAGGCATCAGTAGGCATTAAAATATATGTGGAAGGAAGGAAAGGAAGTCCTGCACAGAATTCAGATATGCCCCAAGGCCTTTGATATAAAGGCCTCCCTAAACAGAAGGACTAGTCTGAAGCCTCTCCATACATACCCCACACGATGCTCTTGGTTTGCTGGCTTTATGTGAAACAGGCTCCATGAGGGTCTAGCCCAACCCCACCTGCAAGGATACAGCTATAACCCCACAGTCGGGTGGACTCCTGAGGCCTGGTCTACTATTTATAATTCCTTGTTCTAGAGGTCTGCAACTCTGTGACTTGTTTAAAGACCTATTTTCTCACCCCTTTTCTGAAGAATTCAGAATTCACAAATATTTATATTCCTACTGTACTCAGTACTAGGGAAATGACATTGAATGAGATGCACTCAGTCTCTGCTCTCATAAAATCTATCAGACATGCAATTTCAATATGATGCAATAAGTTCTATGATGGAGGAGTTACAGGCTGCTATGGGATCACGGGGGGTGGTGGGCACTTATCCCAGAATAAATACTCTCCTATACCACATTTTTGAGGATGATATTCATCAGTTAAAATCTGAGAGTAATGCTCTAGACTCTGGGGACTATGAAATAGAAGACCCTGTCCCTAACTTGGAGAAAAAACCAATGGAAAAAGATTATAAGAAATAGTGTCTGATCCTCACACAGAGCTTAAAGACAAGATCTGAAGGGCTCAAACTGTTCCCAGGTAAACTTAACTACATTTCCCCTCCCTCACCAAAAAGCTCAAAAGTACTTATAAGAATACAAAAGTAGGTAAGCCAGACAGAGAAAGAAAAATATCATATAATATTGCTTATATTTAGAATCTAAAAAAAAGAAGAAAAAGATACAAACTTATTTACAAAACAGAAAAAGACTCACAGACATAGAAAACAAACTTATGGCTACCAAAGGAGAAAGGGTGGTGGGAGGGATAAATCAGGAGTTTGGGATTAACATATACACACTACTATATATCAAATAGATAACCAACAAAGATCTACTGTATAGCACAGGGAACTATACTCAATATTTTGTAATAACCTGTAAGGGAAAAGAATCTGAAAAAGATTATGTATACATAAGTATATGTATATGTCACTGTGTTGTACACCTGAAACTAACACGACATTGTAAATCAACTAGACTTCAATAAATTTTTTTTTAAATACAGAAATACCCAGCACCCAATAAATTTCAGAATGTCTGGCATCCAATTATGAGGCATGCAAAGAAGTAGGAAAATATGACCCATAATCAGAGAAAAAAATCAATCAATTGAAACCCACCCAATACTGTCACAATTATTAGAATTAGCACACTAAGGCATTAAAATAGTTGTTATAACTGTATTCTATATGTCTGCATGTTAAAAAAGTTAAGTAGAGACGTGGAAAATATAAAAATAATGAAACTGAATTTCCAGAGACGAAAATTACAATGCCCGAGACAAACAATACACTGGGTGGGATTAATGGTAAATTAGACATTGCAAAATAAAGGATTAGTGGACTTGAGCACATAATCAAAGAACTATCCCTTTCATTTTAGAGGTGAGGAAACCAAGATTCAGATAGAGTTACATAGCTGAGTACCAGAGCTGGGATTCCAACCCAAGTCTTTCTCACTCTACACTTACTCTGTTATATTTTCATTTACAACAGAAAGAATAGGGTACTTTGCAATACTATGTGAGATATTTTCACATTTGGTTTAAGAATAAATCACAGTCAGGTATCTCTGATTTCTCTGAGGTGCTTAGGTCTAGAAATGAGTAGAAATTGTATTCTGAAGGCTGGAAAACTGTCTTGGGTTTCAGATTTTCTGTCCCCCATTAATACACTCTATTTGATCCTAAAGTAGAATTAGCAGGAGGTGCCATACCTGTAAATCCTCCTGAATGCTGTTAGAAGAACATTCAGTCAATTAATTGTCTGTCTCATATCTCAGCTACATTGTGTTTGAATCCTTTGGAGAGCTTATTTCCTTTTTCTCCATTTCTGGTGAAAAAAAGATCACTGCATTTTTATTGAAAAAGCAAAGTATAATGGCAACATTATTCCATAAAAGCCGGCATGTTAATATTCATTCTAATTAGCTCAGATTTGTAACGTGCTTTAAAAGTGGGAAGTGTCGTACAACTGCTCACTAATGTTGTTATTACATTATGATCCAAACTGTCGGCTAAATGATTGCCAGAGATTCAAAAGAGTTCCCATTTTAAAAATAAAATGGCCAGTTAGTGGGGAGGAAAACCACTTTATCTAAATAGAGGTGAGATAATAGATGAATGCAGACATAGAATTATAGGCTACACTTGGCAAGCATTGGATATGAATTGAATTGTTCCAGGAAAGGAAGCTGCATTTTATTTTATTTTCCCTCCCCAATTCCCTGAAATCACATAAGGTAGCTACTGAAAAAGCTGTTCTCAATATGTTGTAAGGAAAGTCTGCCAATGCACCTCTTACATTTTAATTACAGTAATGTTACATTCATCTGACGTTATTCGGAAGGAGAAGAAAAGATGCCAACATTAATGAGCTCCTACTGTGTGCCATGCATTTTACATACATTATTTCCTTACAGCCCTTTGAGGCAAGGAATTGTTATTTCCATTTACAGATGTGGTAACTAAGGTTCAGACTAGTTAAGCAATTTACCCAAGGAAATGTAGCTTATCATCTTTTCATTACATCATGTTATCTCAGGTTGGGTACTAATAGCATCATTCAGAATTGCATCTTTTCTTCTCAGCAGCCCCCAGTGGAAGGATTATTCCTCTTTCTCAATAGCTCCAGGAGGATGAGTGGGGCTGGCCAGGCTTGGGTTTCATGCCATCCCAGAAGCCAGTTGGACTCAGTTCCACCAGCACCACATGGAATAAGAGGAATGGTGGCTCCCCAAACAAAATAAGGGTACCATTTCCAGAGAGAGGAGGAATGGATGCTGGGTAGGTAAGACAGCAGATGCCCACTATACTGTTCCATGTTGCACGTCCCCTCTGTTCCCCCAAGCCTTGGATACCATCTGTGAACCACTACAGACCCATGTTAACATTGTTATCAGGCAGATTATTCAGCCTCTCCAGTCTCCTGCTTCTTCACTTGTAAAATGACCTATGAAATAATCTCTTCTGGGCTAAAATTCTTTGATCCTGCTCTTATTCATCTCACAGACATTTACTGAACATTGTTATGGGCAAAAGAGGGGGATGGGAATGTCAGAGTTTGCATGGGTTTATATATAGTTCTCTGGACCACAAACAAAATATGCCCTCTACTTTAAATCTGCATCTTTTCCCCCATTCCCAGCCCATCCACATTCTCAAGGGCACTCTGCCTCTCTCCATCCCTCCCCCCTCCCTCCCTCCCTCTCTCCCTCCTTC